AACTAGTAATTATAAGCAGACACTATATAACTGCATACTGTGGGTGTTATATGAATGCAGTGACATTTTTAAAGTGCTTCTTAACCCTGTTGCCCCAAAAATACTTTTTTTTAATGGGTCATGACCCCATGGAAATTCCTGAGAAAAAAATCTCCTTAAAAACAGTTGATTTATTTATCTACATTTTTCCCCCTGAAATATATATAGGTGCATAAGGGGAGTAGTCAGTAAACAAGAAGAGAGTGAAGCGTGAAATGGAATACATTTAGCTCTGGGGCTTTAAGAAAAAAAAAATATATATATATATATATATATAATGATTCATTCTATCACTGAGGCTACGAAAAATATATGTCATCTTTTTAAAAACCAAATTTTTTTATTTCGGCTTCTTGAGGTGACAGGGGTAAGTTAGGTACAGCTCAGAGTATAGTGATAATTCAGTATACCAGTATATATTTCTTCTAAACTTGCTGTACAAAAACCAAGCTGCAGAAAATGTTCAGCACTTTCCTGTGTGCCTTTGTGCATGTTAGTTCTGCAGACAGATGAAGCATATGCGTGTTTATTCAGTCTGTTGTGTTGCACCCAGAAGCAGGTATAGCCACTTAACCCTTTAGTACCAGAAACATTCAAAGAGAATATATACTGGCTGTGCTGTGTCGTAAAGTATCAAACCAGATTTTTATATTATTTTAGACCAAACATATAAGATATAATAACACAACAGGTGGGACTCAGTACCATCAGCCAATAGTTTATCACACATGGCTCATTTCTTGGGGAAAAAAAGAGTTAACTCATGCTGTCTGCTCCTACAATCATCAACATCGTGTCGCGGGTCCTGTGCAGAACATAGCTGTCATCACGATCTGCCTGTAAGAAAGTCGGTCTTTCGCAAACTCTCCCGCCTCGTGCACTTTCCTACCTAAGATGTCACTTATATTCTGAGCCCATCTTCATGTTTATCGGCACCTGTCCCTCTTTCCTGGCTCAATGCCTTCTGCTGTTATTTTTTCCAGTCTGCCGTGGTGCTTGATAGAGCCAAAATATTTCAATTTCTGAGACAAGAAGTCGTTTACCAGAAATCTTCCTCAATGTTTAGAAGATATGCTCCTACAGTATTTAGACCCAGTTTGCTATTTTATTCTCAACAATCTTTTTCTGTTGTGGATTTATATAATGAAGACAAACAATGTATTGCACAATTTATTGCCAGGCAAATTTTGCTGTAAATCGTTAGTTGCATTAGTACAGAACTGACATCAACAGTTAGGGTGTCAAATCGTGTGTTATGTAAACAGAAGGATCACTTGTTTAGTCTTAGACTTCTATGATGAGATCTTTAATGTATCAAGATACAATATGATTTGTATATTTCATTTAAAGCAGGGGTGATCATAAGAGATTAAATCAGGAATGAAGTCATAAGAGAACAAGTTGGCACAGAACCAATTCCGAGTTACATAGAGAGGCAGCAAATAAAATGGTGTTCCCCTTTAGAGAGAATACCCTGTGATGCCCCATCCTATAAGGCATATACGAAAAGAGCAGAGGCATGTAAAGAACTTATATCTCTCTTTGACACCCTAAGTCATAAAATAGGAAGTTAAGAAATATAGAAGTATAGATTGTTTGTTGCCACAGTATTTTTTATTATAATTACAACTTCGCTCTTGTTTCATAGTTTATATGTGTACTTGTTAAGGCACTTTAGGATGGTAACTTGCAAGACTATTAATGGTAGATTCCTTATTTTCTCTGTTTGCAGCCAAAGGAAAAGAACTGAATGATGAAAGTTCTGACAACAAAGAAGAAGAAGAATTTGAATACCTTTCAAGTCTTGTAGCAAGTGGCCAGTCAAGATTAGCTTCTGAGTTTGAGCTGCTGAAAGTTCTTGGCAAAGGTGGCTTTGGAGATGTGCTGAAGGTTGTTCTATGTTCAACATTTCAGTGATCTGTAGTGTAGATAGAGCAGTTCTGTGAAAAGATGATTTTAGAATATATTCAAGGCTGTTTTTGTGTCTTTCGTTAAGGAGATTGTGATGTATAAAAAAAATATAATAAATTCAATTTTTAAATCAATGACATGCAAGATAGCTTTGACAATCTTATCTTTAGCTTAGAATTTAATGTTCACTTCATTAAAATATTGAATCTTGCCTGTTGTACTGGGTCTCTAAGAAATTCAGGGTCCTCGACTTCTAACATTTATTCAAACTGTTTTTAATTAGTCTGGTATCTCTGTCTTTAGACTTTAAAAAAGAAAATCTGGCTAAAATTGTCGAAAGCCCGTATGGCTGATCGCTGATACTTTGAAATGCTATTTATTTCCAGCTAGGTTTTGTTGATGCAAATTCTGCATTTCTGGACTGGTATAACAAAAGTTACCTCACCCAGCTACTGAGTTGAGTGCTTGGTGCAACAATGTGAGCTGTGTAATTCATGTTTTTACTGTTGTGCCCATGGCCTGATATTGGCTGCACTGAAATGACTGGTGGCCGATTACATTCAGAAAGGCGTGTACTTTTGCAGATGCAATATTGGCTTCATGATTGACCATTTGCGCCAATAGTGAGCTGCAGTTCTGATGTTAGGCAGCTAGTTTTGGCACATCTGACAGCTGCCTTATGCATTTTTACCATGTGTTTGCTAGTTGTAAGCTTTTGCTGGGACTGACCAGTTGGGCAGTGAAGGACATTTTGTGTGATTTCCACTGGCAGAGGAATGGAGCAGCTACAGGGCGACCCGTTGGTCATGATACTTGAACTTTGACTAACCAAATACAGACCAAATATTGAAGACAAGACTCAGACTTGTAAAATGCCTCCCTGTGTCCTGGTAGCAGAAGAAAGACTAAATAAGACCACAGGGTACCTCTGCATTCCATGGTGGTTAAGCAAAACCTATAAAACAGCACACACTGAGAGTAAGTTCACCCTGTGAGTCCTGGAAAATGCACACATCTGTTAACTCTCAGAGGCAACATATGTACACCCTCCATTAAACATTCACAGTATTTACATTGTTTGAATTATAGTCAGATTTCCTTATTATGTTCAGACTAAACATAAAAAATCTAACACCTTGCCATCTGATGCTTGTTACACAGGTCATCTGTTTGTCAGCATCTGTGGCTTAGGCATTGTGAACACGCTTTGTAATGCCGGGGTGCCGGGTTTGATCCCAGCTGAGTACCTTGCGTTGGTTTCGACAGTGGTATCGAAAATGAGTTTAAATCAACTTCGTGGTGGATTTAAAAAATTTTTAAAAATTGACCTGTGCTCAAAGTGATCTAACCAAATTGAGTAACAGGAAGCTTTCTGGGAAGTAAAAGTGACCACCATTTTGTTGAGCACATAACCCAACTAATTTGAATGATCTATAAAAAAAATAAAAATAAAAGGAGCTAGTGCAGGCTTTTTTCTAGAAGAATAAAAGTATAGTACTCGCTTCACAGTGTCTGATAAAAAATGGTGGTACCCATCACAAAGTATATGTTACAGTAGTGTTGAAAAATTGCGCCTTAAAGAAAATTCCGGTACTGCATACAGCCAGAAAAAAGGCCCTTGGGGTAGCACCATATACCCAGTATTCCTCCTTTAAAGAAAGTATCTGCTGGTGTGTTGGAAAATGAACAGGCAGACAGGAATACTGATGCATGATACGGCAGATTTGGTTAGTGCCTTGTGGGAGAGTGTGTACAGTGCGGAGGAGCGGATCGATGCACCACAGTGTGGTGAGACTGATGCAGTTGGGGGTGACGAGAGGTTCTGGCAGATGCTCTAGGCTCAGAGGAAAGTCAAGACGGATGTTTAATCAGAATGCTACTGGCACCATTGGTATCGGAACTCTTCACTGGCTGCTGAAGATGGGGACGGAGCGCTTATGGGAGTGCCCCGAGTGCTGTGATGTCGGTTCTTGAATCAAATGGAAAGTAAGTGTCCTTTACCTTCTTGTACTGAGTATTTTCTGATATCAGGTGAAGAACAAACTGGATGGGCGATTTTATGCAATTAAGAGGATCCCACTGAACCCCAAGAGTAAGATGTTCAACAAGAAGATGAAGAGGGAAGTGAAACTCTTGTCTCGGCTCAACCATGAAAACGTAGTCAGGTAAAAACTTTCATTACCTTCATGTTGTACATTTATTTATAGCAAAAGGTCATTTGACGAATCCTTTACAGAATGCTACTCATAGTGTACCATTCCTTCAAAGTCGGAGTACAGCTGCCCATGAGTCAGGGAACAGAAAAACGGTTGTACACGCAAAAATCAGGTCCAGGTGAATGCCAAAAGTCCAAGCGGACGATTAACCGGGACCTTCCGCCGGAATTCACAGCCGGTGATCGATTAAAAAAAAAAAAAATAGTGTACCACAGAAGAAAAGTTGCAATGTTGCCTCGACAATTGTGGTATTCAACTCACCCGCTCTGTGAGTGCTTAAAAGGGGTGCAAGGGTTGTCTGAACCCATTTAAAATTTCCAAAAAAAATATGTTTTAAAAACACAGCTTTATTACTCTTTAACTAGTAAATTGTTTTAAAATGTGTTTATCTACATTTTTAAAAACGTTTCTCAGAATATGTGAAGATACATAAAGGGAGTAATCAGTGAAGAAGTGAAGTATTAAATATAATGCATCCCCATAGCTTAAAACAAATATGTATCGGGTAACTCATGCTTTGACCTCTATCATTGAGGCTTACTGGAAAATTTCAAGTCAACCTGGCTTAAAAAAAGCAGTTGGATTCCCAAGAAAACCCTTCTATGTGCTTTCCCTCTGCATGCTATATTTCGTTAGTATATTCACAATTGTTCCTCCTAAACACTGCACAGACACACATAGAGCCAGTGGCGTTTTAACTGCACTTTTCAAGAACAATTCACTGCAGAAATGGCAATATATCTGTATTTACAGGACTGTCACATCAAGAAGGGGCTAGATTTATCATTCTCAGGGTTATAGGATTAAATTCAATTGATATTTTGTTTTCTCCAGATACTACTGTTCCTGGATTGAGATCAGTGATGACCCAGCCCAGTCAGAAACATCTTCCAGTTTCACCTCCTCATCCCAAGCTCAGGAAAACGCAATTGTGAACAAGCGAACTCCTCACATTCTCAAGAGCATTCCCCTCACAAAGCCACTGGTCATTCCAGCGGGTGTGAAGTCTGCTAATTCCAGTTTTGACCCCGTTGGAGACATTGAGAACCTGGTTCCAAGAGCAACAGATGAGTCTGTGGACTGGGGCACATCCTTTGACAAAGGTATTTGTGTAACATTGTGGGGCCTCATTTATAATGGGGATTCAGGTAGGGTCCCACCTACATGAGTAAATTTTGTTTTCTGGGAAGTAAAGGCCGCTATTATAATATTGACAGCATCACTTTTTTAATGGTGATGGGTCATGCAAGTGTATTTAGGAGTGTGTATGAGTGTGTGCGTACAAATTCTTTTGTGATTTTGTGTATTAATTAATGTGTATATAAGTATGTATGGAAGTGTTTGTATGAGTGTTTGTATGCATGTGCATGCTTGTTTGTTTGTTCGTTTCACTATAAGTGTATTTATGAGTATATATGAGAATCTGTATATTTATGAATGTTTGACTTTGTGTGTATGCATGTATATTTGAATGTATATATTTATCATCCATGCTTTTGTGTATTTTTCTTGATACCCATTGTACGTATATTGTTTTGTGAACATAACATGCTTTAGCGATAAAATACAGTTGCTGTATGAAATATGAGTGCTCGGAACGGCCAATGGTAAGATTGGCTTTCACGCCTAATTCATGACCCTTTGAAATTAAAGTTTCTACATTTGATCAAACCAATAAACCTTTAATGGGGAAAATTATCCTTTACTGTTATTTTCACTGTATTGTTAAACTGAGAATTCCTATTCCCTTTTTTCTCCTTTTTTGTCGATAGTTGTGTGGTTGTGCCAGTAATGAGCACAGCCAGAGCCGTATTTATGCAGTGTGCAATGTGGGCAGCTGCACAGGGTGGCAAAAATTCTAAGCAGCACAAATATAACTTTTCTATTAAGGGAAAAGGGAGGGTAAAATAAATGACTGCACAGGAATATTAATCCACCCTTAATGTGGCCCTGAACACAGCCATGGTTTATGCCATCTATGGAGCATCAGGTAGTGCGCTCAAAATGGTTACTACCCAGAAAGACTGACCATGTCAACAGCTGCCCAAAGATTCTGGATATGTTTTGTTGGCACAAATGTTGCAACTCTGATGTGTAATGGCACAACACATCATCATTATAGCCTTAGAACACTGTGTGTCATTGGGTCATCAGTTGCTGTTGACTGATCAGTTTCTTCCACCTTTGATGGTCAGAAGCAATGGAATGCATGTTCGAGGCGTGTTCAGCAAGATTCTTTTTCCAGGTCTTTCTTGGTCTGCCTCTTCTCCTTTTCCCCTCTACTGAGCCCTGTAGTATGGCTTTGAAGAGGCTATTAACACACCCCAAAAATATCAGACAAACAAAGAAGAAATGATATAAGTGCCAACACAGAATTTTGCTGAAACATGTTTTTAACTAGTTGTCAAACAGGACAAGGAAGAACACTTCCTACAATTTCCAACTGGCACATAAACGGAGCAGTTATAGGGACAACTTGTCAGCAGGGAAACTGGAACCGTGACTAACGACTTATAACACACTAAACAGGTGTCTTCTTAAATTTTGTAAAGCAGTCAAAACAAAAGAATCAAGTAGCTAACGTGTGTAGTGATTATTTAAATTGAAAAAAAAATTTTTTTTTTTAAGACACCTTAGTTAATTTTTTAGCCAGGAAAAATTAAAGGAATTTATTAAAATAGAATGTAACACAAGTTAAGACCAATGAGTACAATTCCATACACTTCTCTCTCTAAATGTTAACATTGCAACTGTTTGTATGCGCATAGTTGATGTTTGTCTTCATGTTGAAATCACCAGGAGCAGAAACATTTCAGGATTCATCATCCAGTGAAGAAGAGGATGAAGCTGATGTATTTGGAACTTCTTTCATGTGAGTTAAAATTTTATTGAGATGTACTCAACTGTTTTTATAGAACTTATTTCATGTGAGTTAGAATTTGATTGAGATGTACTCAACTGTTTTTATAGAACTTATTTCATGTGAGTTAGAATTTGATTGAGACGTACTCAGCTGTTTTTAGATATAAACTAAATAACTGTCATCCACATAAAGCTACTCAAATTGAAAGTCCATGCAGTTGGAAAGTAAAATAATTTAAAAGCAGTAACTCATCCAGAGATGGCACAGGTCACACACACACACAATTACTGAAAGTTTACAAATACAGTTTTTAAAGATAAACCCTCTCTTGAAAAAGTAAAGTAATGCTGGTACATTTTTAATCAGTTGAAAGATTCAAGATGTGTAAACACGGATAAATTATCTGAGTATCAGAGATGTATCTTTATATTTGTCCACTTCACTTTACAATCCCTTTTGTACTGTAAGTAGCCTTTTTTTGTGAATATATGTAATAGCTTCCTTAGTTTTTTTAACTGATAAGGCATCTGTTTCATCTCATATTTCTGTGATTGTGGTTCATGAATGTTTGTTTCATCAAGCATTTAGTTTGGTTATTTCTCCTTCGGAATGGAAAGTTTGTATTTTTTTTTTTTAAATTTAAATTGTGCTTCTAAATTCCTAACCACTAATATTTTAGATAAAACTGTCGAAAGAATTAATGACCAATGATTCTTGCATGTAATTTACTCAAGGCCTAAGATGGACAGATCTGATGACAGTATTATTTTTGACACCGATGGAGACAAAGGGAAAGATACACTTGATGCTGGTTCTGAAGTAAGTGTTTACATTTAATATTTTCATTCTTGTATGGTTAAATATCTGAATGTGGAACTGTAGCTTCAGACATGTCAGTGTAAGATGAATGTCTGCCTGTCAGTCTCTGTACCTGTTTGTCTGTCAGTCTGTGTATCTATTTTTCAAGCTATCTAATTAATCCACTTACCTGACTACCTGTCTTTATGTCTGTATATCTGGATAGCAAGGATTGGTGTGTACAGGTCCCACCTAAAAAATGGGAAATGCCTGCTCGGAATTGGTAGCATTTGCCAGTCAAGTCAACCGTACCTAAACATGGTGCTACCTGTTGTAACAAACACGGCTCTGGCGCATAACAAGTCTCCATCACTCACAAAATGGACCCCCCGATACCTGAAGGGATAAAATGCCAGGCATGTCCCGATCCCCACCAAGGTCACACCCAGGGAACCCACCCTGGAGAATGGAAGGCGGAGAAGGGAAACTTCCAAAACCTGGCAGGCAGTGTTTGGATCAACCAGGTCACGGATAGGGAGACTCCGTAACTTCCCCCCACTGAAGAGGGACATGTCGACCTGAATGGCATGGGCACCCAGAAATGGAAACCGACATCGACGCAATCTACGGTTAATGAGTGTGCTTAGATACCTAAACCATTATGAGGCTGCTCATGTAGACTACTGCCAGGCAGGAACAGTGCCGTATTCCGAGCCTCGAAGGGATCCACCTTAAACTGCTGATGGTAGCTCTGTGCATCGGCAGACCAGGATTAGCAAAGTGTGCAGAGCAAGCTATGGGGAACCATGAAGGACCTGCTACTGACATGCCAGTTCATAGAGGCAACCCACCTGATGGTCTGATCTGAGCATACGAAACCGAATGCGAAGAAGAAGAAGATATCAGTATACTTGGCTGTCAGTTTACGCCATCCATATGTCTATTTATCTACCTGTCAGATTTACCTGTCTTGATATTTCTCTGTTTTACTCTCTCCTTTCATCTATCCTCTTCCTATTTTGATTTTTATTGACTTTGAGAAATCTTTTTGATAGCTTACACAAGACTTCACTGTGGGAAATCTTGGAATGCCACCTTTACTTCCAAGGCCATTTCCTTTCACTCTTCAAGGCTTGTTAGGCCTAGGAGCTTCTTCTTATAGTCCATACCATGTTGCGTTAGTAGTCATGTCTTTCCATAACCATCTGTCTCATATACTTTCAGTCACTTCTAACACAGAGGTCTCATGTAATGTTAAAACTGTCCAGCGTCGTCTCTCTTGTTCTCCCTCTGCCTCTTTTTCCCTCCAACTTGTCACCGTCACGATGTACTCCTGGTAGTTTCCTTCTCAGGGCATCACTAAAGAATGTAGATTGATTCTGACACAAGAGAGCTAGCTTAGGTAAATTTTTACTTGTATGCCTCGATGCAAATTTGAGCCCACGGCTCAGCGTTCAGCCATGTATGCAGATCCGTATTGAGAATGTGTGATGCCCTAGTGCAGTAATTTATTGTACGCCCTCTTCTTCCCTCAGCTAAAATTCATCTATTGCCATACTATTTTAATACCAGGTTGCATTTCTTATGCAGGTTCCATAATGATAAAAGCAATGCAGTTATAAACATTAAATCATGTTTTGCCACCTCTAAAATTTTGATTTTGCAGCCCTATACGGTAGCTGTATTTTGCAGGAACCTGGACAAAGATAAGCAACTGAATGATCAAACTGAGGCTCTAAAGATGGGGACACACAGAAAATTTTGTACAGGGTTCTGGAGAATATAAAAAAAAACCATACATTTGAAATATTCCAAGTGGATTTTGAAACAAGAATGAAACATGTTCGTTTAAAACAGTCAGACAAAAAATACAAGGGTTCTGGAGATTTGGTAAAATAAGAGAAGAGAGTCGATAAAAAGAGTTACGGACAGAAATTTGAAAAAAAAACCAGACATTTTGGAATCTAAAAATCTATATCAAATTCCTAATTGTGTGGGATTTCCGGCATAAAATCTCCATCTTGTGTGTGGAAACAAGAATAGACACACTGCCTGCCCAAAAGCATGTCGTAAGAAGAGTCGACTATTTAGGAGCAGGCTTCGAAGTCGGGGAGTACCATCGTATGCCATATTCACCTGCCCCTGGTCAAAAGGTACAGAAAGTTCATGAGTACATTTTAGGAACCAATCGGGATTACATCTGCCTTAAAGGCAAAGGAACCTAGTCTGGCACGCAAATGAGTCAGACCTGTGACATGGATGTTTCTGGAACATAATACTTTTTTAAAGGAGGGAAAAACAACAAAGGTATAGATTGAAGGACAGTATCAAGAGATGGACGTCTGTGAGAGTGTACCACGAAGATGAGAGACAGAACGTGTTGGAGATCCATTGCAACCAGCCTTCATTGTGGAGACAGCACTTGATTGATTGAAGGATTGA